TTCTCTCTACCTAGAATGCTGGACTTTCCCTCACCTGTGCCTTACTTTCACTCACTTTCCAAAGAACATTTTTTTCCAGAAATGACTCCACCAGACCTTAGATATCATTATTTCTGGGCACTCCCAGCCCTCCCTTAATGCTGTTTCAAGTTCTTTATGTTTTAATCAGCCTCATTTCCTTACATAGAATAAAAGATGGAAAATATGTCTTGGAATTAGAGCACTGGAATTTGACTCATAAATATGTGTTTTGATGTTTTTGACCTTCAGAAACTTTGCATTTATATATGTGATTCACAAGGAGAAGCTTTATACACCATTAGAGATTGGTGAGAATGTAAATTAGTACAGCCACTATGCAGTACAGAAGTCCTCCAAAAATAAAAATATACCATTCCTTAGTGGATATACACAGGAATCAAAGCATCTTATAGAGATAATTGCTTGTGTATGTTTATTGGGCCACAATTCACAACAGCCAGGTTATGAGTCTATAATCCATCAAGGGATGGGTAAAGAAAATACACTGTATGTATACAATGAGTTATTATTCACTAATAACAAGAATAAAATCATATATTTGAATGAAAATGAATGGAACAGAGATTATCATGTTAAGCAAAATAAACCAGACTCCAGAAACACAAGTATGGCTTATTTTCTCATATATGGAATATAGCGGGGCAAAGAATGGCATGAAGGCGGAAGTAAAAGTATCAGAAAAGACAAAGAGGGTGGTAGAGGGGTAAAGGGAGAGGTGGGAGACAATGAGGGTATGGTTATGGCTATGTATGAAATGTCACAACAAAAAATAATATTCATAGTAATTAATATGAACCAAGTTCATAAAGTTATTATGCAATATTGTGTAGTAACACACAAAAATGAATGATGAATGGACAATTAAAAAAATAATTCCCCTCTGTTCCTCATATCATCCCATTTGTAATATTCCTTAAGGACAAAGAGGTGTCTTAATTTTCTGTGAATTTTCACAAAATCCTTCATATATCTGGTATTTAATAAACAAATTAGTATCCCTAAAGTGATGCTTGAAAACAAAGTTTTTGTGGGGATAAATTGATGATATTAGATTAATGAAGTTATCTAACCTTCATAAGTGATACAATATTTTAAGAAATTCTTTTGCACAGAAAGAATATAATTTTTTATCATGTTTACAGATATAGGTTCACACTCCCTGTCAGGAAAGGCACAATGAGGCAAGAACCACATGTTTGCAGTATATGTCATTTCTCTCACAATGTGATTTGCCTTCAAATATAGTTGTATGAAACCATGTGGGGCCCAGGAAGAGAGTCAAGCCACTCACCCTTCCCATGAGCCACACAGATCACATGGGGCCTCGGAGGAGAGACAAACCAGTTGATCCTTTTCGTGAGTCAGCAGAAGGCATGCTGGGTCTGGGAGGAGTACAACAAGAAGTCAATTTGCACTGCCTATGCACCACACAAACCATGCCAGGGCTCAGGAAGAGATGTAAGTCAGTTCACCCTTGCCATGAATTGGCTGAAGCCAGGCTAGGTCTGGAATACAACATGAAGTTAATTTGCCTTTTCCATGAGCCAACCAGAGCATGAGTTAAAACTCAAGAATGCCATACCTCCCCAGTCCCCCTGTAAGCAAACAGCTAATTTCAAGGACAGGCTGAGTTGATAGCAACTGAGACACAAAACAACTAAATGCTTGTGTTGTTCAATTGGTTTTTCAGACCAATAGTCTGAGCATCTGTTAGGAAGATAACAATATGCAATATAGCAGCTTTGGGGGATTTCCTTCTGTCTTGTCTTTGAAATCTAATATTGTTCTCACTGTTTTGTTTTGTTCCAATGTATTTTTTAATTTAATGTTCTGTTTTAATTGGTTTCATTCTTTTTTAATTTGATTTACTATGTCTGATGGTAAAAAGATAACAAGATACATTATGGCAGCCATTGTTGATTTCCTATTTTTCTGCTGTGAAGTTCTATACCACTTTCACTGTTTTGTTTTGATTGGCTTTATTCTATTTTATTTTGTTAGGTTTTATTCTCTTTAAAATAAAAACAAACAAACAAAAACTATAGTCGCATACCAACAATACTAGCCAGTTTCTCTTCCTTCTTTACCCAGCTCACTGGCACTCCTTTCCTCAATTAAAATACTTTTAAGGACAAGATCAAACAGGAAAAGGCAAAACCTGGGCTAAGGTGAGTTGGCTCCCTAGAGGTTTGATATTCATGTAGAAGAACACAGACTTAAAGACATGCTAGAGCACATCTGGCCCAGTCTCCTTTGAATCTCAGAAGGTGCAGTAGAGCACAACCAGAGCAAAGGTGCTTGCAAAGCTCTATGACAAAACTCTTGCTGCTAAGAAGTATCAGTATCTCCATTATGGGAGAAACCTGCTTCTTCCCCTGAATGATTGTGCTCACTTGACCTCTCTAAGTACTCTCCCTCACTCTCTCTCAGATTGAAAGGAGAGGAGACCTTTTGTTTAACCACAAATCAGTCATTAATTGACTAAACAGATACTTTTTGAACTCATAATAAAATAGCTGTTATGTATTATATAGGTATTGGGGATAAACGGTGAACTGAACACTGAAATTTCATTCTATCCAAGTTGACAAAAGTTGGAAAATAGATACAAGTATTGTGTTATGGGCACACAGGACACTATGAAAGCAATTTATATGGTAAATAGTACTGAGACAGTAATATAAGAGAAAGAAACTTCCAACCTACTAAATGTCCAGTAAGAGTTCTTATACTCTAAAATTGAAAAATGAGTTTTAAGAACAATAGGGGTTTAAAAACAGAATACACTTATTGGGGAAAATAAAGCTTTTGCTGAGAGAGAGATAGAAGAGATCATGAGTGGGTTGCCAAAGACCCTGCAATTTTTAGGGTTATTTATGGAGCAAATCCGTGAGGTGAGGCAAGTTCAAGGTGGGGAAAAATAGGAAATTGCAAGGTGGGCATGAGGTAGAATAAAACCATGTTAAGCCAATATGATTGTGACTATAATTGCTCAGGTAAAATTGATTAACTCTGAGTCAAATTGGGAAACAAGTCACATAACAAGCAGCATGAATATAGAACAGAGGCTTTTCCTAGGGGTAGGGTCAGTGGCTCTTCCTAGCTTCCTCAAGGTGATCTGATACCTATTTAGAATATCAATCCCTGATGTTTATTCTTAGGAAGTATGTGGGTGCATTTTGTCTTTTGCCTTGAGACCTGGCCCACAGCAGAGGTGCCAACAAGGTATCTTGTCTTGTCCTTCAAGGGCCTAACTCCATCTGACTGCCTTAACTTAGTTGCCTATAACAACAAAATATATAAGGATTCAGAGCAAAAGCATAGGGTTGGATAATAGAAAAGACAAGAGATTGTTTCTTTCCAGTGACACAGAAAACCATAAAGCTTGGCTATTGGCAAAAGTCAGCTTGAAGGCTTACAAGATGGAAACTGAAGTACTTTTTATTACATGATAGCTATTTACTCCATGCAGTAGAGGCAGTCTTATCTGTCTAAGGATAGCAGTGAAGGCTCAGAAGGTTCAAGAGAAGAGAAAAAGCAGCATCTTGTATGTACCAAGTGATACTTGCAAGTACATAAAGAAGCCCAAGCAGTGCTTTGGGCCAAACCAAAGTGGCTGAACCTAATTGTTGTTGATATCAACTTGTCATGATATAAACCATGATACAAACCATATATTTTAATAACAAACACTATAGGGATGAATCAGCTAGATTGGGACTTTGTCAGTCAAGTGTATTAACAAGTCAACTGGACCAAGGAGGTTTATTATAGTGACAAATTTGTGGTTGAAATAACAGATTAAGGAAAGTATACTGGATGGGGAATAGTAAGAAGAATGAATTGAGCTTGGTGGGCATGGAGAAAGCAGAGTCTACAGACATAGTCAAACAAGTTGAAAAGAACACAGAAGGTGGTATAGTCTCAGAAGATAAGTTATATGGCTTCTAACACAGGCTCTGCACAATTCTATGCAGCTCCTTCGATCTTTTTGGCTATGTGTTTCCTATCCTATGTGTCATGTGGAAGCAGTAGCCAAAAATCCTCCATGAAACTTTTCTATGAAAGCACAATAATTGTCAATATTTTAGGCACTTAATTAACTGAATCAAATTCACTGCACCCTCATTAGTGGGTAGGGAGTACTTAGATTTCAGCTTGAGAACTTGATGAAACCTACCAAACTGTAAGGCTGTAATTGAACCTGACTTTCCTAGCCCCCAATCTACTTGCCTTTCTCTCAACAAGGAACTCACCAGCAAGCAGGATGTTGGAAAGAAAGTAAGACAGGACAAGGAATTTTGCAGGTATCAGGACATCTGGGTACATCTGGAGACACCTGAAAAGTTACACTGGACACCTAAAGGACTTTGTCCACTAGTGGTATAAGAAGGCCGGAGCACCTTGACCACAGATTGTATTAAAATCTTCCTGCCTACTGTCCCCTGCTTTCTATAAAAGAGACATGCTTCTCTTTGTTCCCTGCAGATGGTCTTATTGCCCTTTTCCTGGCTGCATCCAGGCATAATAAATTCTATGCTGTGTTGTCTTTATGCAAACTTGGTAGTTTCTGCTGGTCTCCATCAGCCCTCCCTTCATGTGTTTGAGACTCTTCTACTTAAGGCCTTGTTTGACTCAGAATTTGTGGTATTAGATTGGCTGACAAGTCATGCTTAAATCCTTCAGGAACTCTAATTCAATCCCTAAATTATGCCACTGTAATGCTCTTATAACAATCTTATCTTTATGGTACCTGGATTTATTGAGGGAAGGGATGCTCTAGGAAGGCTTGTGGGGATATGATCACAAAGTGACAGCTGAGCCATTGGAATGTGGGAAGTTGTCATCACAGTCACCAGATTAGCAAACAGCTTTCACATCATCTGTGGCTCATTGCCTCAAGCTTGGTGCAGTTTAAGTATAAAAGGATTTTGTTGACAGGGTCTCTTCAGTTCCATCACCTGCCCAAGGTTAGAAAGACAAGGTAAGTGCCCCTATTGACCTAATGGCAGTCTCGAGATGGCTAAGGTGACCACACTGTATATGAATGCTGCAAGCCATTTCAGGATGGAGAGGATGAAAATTGGCAATTCCAGTAAGGTGGGGTTCGTGGAAATCACCAGGATAATTCAAAAATGTCATCCTAGAAGGAGTGAATATTAATTGGAGACTGGGGCAGTGCGGAGTCAGGGAGATGGGAAAGCAACTCATTTGTGGGATAAGAGAAAGCTGAAGAATAGGACTAAAGCAGAGCACAGGGTACATGAAAAAAAAAAAAAAAAAAAAGAAGTTAAGGAAGATGGTGTAACAATGACCCAGGCTAAAAATGTGCTGAGTGAATAATTACAGGATATAAAAAAACTGTTTCATATCCTGTTGCTTTGAGTCTTGAGGAGAAACAGATCAGGTGGAAGAAGATGTTACCAGATTCTCACTTACCCAACTCTAGATTTCTCCCATGCAGGAAAGTACGATTGTCCTGCTATCATGATGCACCCTCTGGACCACAGATTTAACTGCTGAATTTCAGCCTTAGTAGAAAAATAGTTACTAACTAAACTTTTTATTCACAGGATTTTCAAACTACTTGCATTATGTTCTAGGCTCTTTGAACATTCTCCAAGATGTCCTACAAGCAAAACCAGCAGAAGTGCCAGTTCCCTGCCAAATGCCCCCCAAAATGTCTACTTGATTGCCACCCTCAGTGCCCACAAGCTCCTTCTTCATGTCCCCCTTCTGGCTCCCCTCCAGCCTCCTCCTTCTGTGTTTCCACCCGTGTATCTCTGGTATCTTACCGGTTTCCACGATTCTATCTGCACCAGCCCCAGTGTTCAAACTGCTGTGAAAACCTGTCCTCTGGATGTCCTGGCTGCTGCCACAACTCCGGAGGCTGTAACTGACCTGCAACTTTTGGGACACAAAGAATCATAGCTAAGGGCTAGTATTGAATTGATGCTTTTCTTTGCTCTCGCCTTCTTTCCCTCTCGCCCTGACCTGGCTTTTCAGGATATAGACTCTTCTTGCTGAGAACTACATGATTCTTGGTCATGGTGGTCCTAGGCCATGGAGACCTGAGTGCAAGAAAGAAAAAATCTGTCTCCTAAAAGACTTGTCAGTGTACAGAAATAAAACTAATCTTTCTTGGAACCTTGTACTTTTGGTGTTTGTTGGCTCTTCCAGAGGAAATAATTTTAAGTTGGATTTTTAAAGCAAACTTCCATAGTGATACAGCCAGATGAGAAATTTCCACCTAGACGGACGCAGAGTCTGAGCAGTTCAGAAGGCTGTTAGGAGAACAGATGTAGAGGGGCAAGATAGAGTGATGCTTCCAAAGTGAAGCCACCGAACTTCCTTCTCAGTGAGTACATTCTGCTCCCTAGATCCTTCTTATAGGGTCAAACTCATGCTCAAGAGAAGGCAGAGGGGTATTTGGAGTTTTCATATGTTAGCTTAAAAGCCACAAAAATCACTCTCCTTGAGCCAATATTCACATGACTTTGTCCTCCATTCCTTCATATAAGAATCAGAACCAACAAGACTCTATGTAGCAGGCAGTGTAATACCTAGCAGATCTTGATATTTCTATCTACTCCCTTCCTTTATACTTAATAGAATAAATGTGAAGATTCTGAGAACATGTTCTACAAGCCCTTTTCTTTCCAGTTAAACAGCAGATCATAGACAACAGCAAAGCTTCTGCTCATCCCTGGGAGTACAGTTCCTGATCTCGGTACTGACATGTGCCAGTGCTCACCAGGTCAAAGAAAGGGAGGGAACAATAGTTAATGCCCCAGAACCATTTATAACCAAGCTACGGCCTTGGAAGCATCTGAGTTCCTTCAGTGAGTGTGTCTCACACAAGAATGCCACCAAGTTGGTGTGTCTTACAAGAAGAGAGATTGGGAACTTTGTTCCAGAATATTATCTTGGCCCCAAATAAGTCATTAAAGGTAACCAAAGAATAAATAAGCCATCTGATAACTGAAATGTCTTCTTCTGTGACATTAAGGTAATATGTAAATATGATAAATGTTAATACTAAGCTGTTTAAGCCAGAAAAAAGAAACAAAACAAAACTGAAAATTATTAGTGCTAAGACCAGGTTATGATAGATGCGTTAGGGCTATATGCTACAAGATTTACCAATCTCTGAGAAAAATCCTGCAGGACTATTTACAAAGTAATAATTATGATTTTATCAACACTGTGCAACCAGGAAAAGCAGGAACAAAGACCCAACAGAAATAGAAGGTGATGAGACTAAAGGTAGGACTGTACTGCCATCTACAATCTATGGATTGTGCATCTCTTCAAACTAGTCCACTCCCTTAATTTATTAATGATGTAAACTTCAACACGTATATAAGATCTTGTCAGCATTCTATATGAGCCTAATGTAAATTTTCATTTGTAAAATTGTTCGAGTTCTTACAGTGCTTCAAAACTACTGGAAAATATTATAGAGTCCATGCTATATCAATAAGTACCCTATAAAAATTGTAAGTGATAATTTTCTTTATGAGTGCTGTAAACAAAGTGTATCATCCTGATGTAAATGACACATATTTTTAATTTAAGCATGCAATATGGATTTAAGAAAACAATAGGCCTAGTCTGATAAAACTACGAAATGACTAACATTTGACTCCAAAGCATGTAATCTCTAATTTTGTCCCTAATTCACATGCAGGATTGCTGGTTAATCTTGTCTTGATGTATATTTTCTACTGAATAAGAAAATGCATCAGTATTATTTATTTTAATTTTCAGTTTCAACATGAACTTGAGGTGCTACTCAACGTTATTAAAAGTTCCCTTCTTCTCATCAGTGAGCAGAGATGTTCTCTGGTTTAGCAAGGCCCGGGCAGGTCTGGAGGCAAACAATAAGCCATCATCCCCGCAGCAGGCTTGGACGCACACACTGACCTGCAGTGATTCAGTTGTGAAGCTCAGGAGTTCAGGAATAGGACAAAAGAACTGAGGAATGCATAGGCAGCAGAAATCCCAGAGGGCACTGCAGACTCATGTGCACAGCTTTCAGGCCCTCTTCCCCACACAGAGGGTACCAGCATGCCTCTCAGGACATACAGGGCTTTGGTTTCGAGGTGGAGCATTGTGGAAAGCTTATCTTCACTTAGGCAGCAAGAAGTGGGAGAATCTTGTATGGTATCCGTGGTTGGGCAGCTGGACGTCTTATAGCCGTCTGTTTCCTCTGCTTCCTGCACTGGGCCTGCAGAGCCCTCTATTAGGAAAGGTTAACGTGGCCTTCACTTTTTCTAAAGTTATTTTGTAAACTTTATTTCCAATTAGTATATATTTGCCATACATATTTATCACATTCCTCATAGAGAATTTGTATCTGTACATAATATGTCTTAATTCTGCGTTCCCCCGTTCCTCTCTCAATCTTTCAACCCTTCTTTTCCTCCTCACTTACAAAAGCTTTCTTAAGGCTATGCTTTCAGAGATCATTTCTATAGTATGTTTACTAGAGAAGTTTCTCTGATCGTGTGGAGTACCAAAGCCTTCCATTTTTCCCTGCCATTCTCTTTCTTATAAGCTATCCGCATCCTCTCCTCTCTTATTCCACTTCCCATGTGAACATTTTCTTCCTATTTTCCAATATTTATAATCTATTTGGGTTCTTTTTTATACTTTTGGTTTCTCACACTAGAGAAACTAAGCAATATTTGAACATGTGTTCTATTTATTTCATTTAAAAGTATTGTCTCAAATTTCATTCTTTCACTTAAAATTATCTCAAGTTTATCCTTCTTTATGATAAGAAAGTACTCAATTGTGTATTAAAAGTCATAGTTTATTTAAATCATTCCTTGTTCATGAGCATCTAGGCTATTTCTAAGATTTGATTATTACAAATTGTGCTTCTGTAAACATCGGTGTTATGATGCTTTTAATTCTTTGGAGAAGATACCAAAAAAGGGCTAGTTGGGTAAATAAAACTTCTTGTTTTAACATTTTTGAGGAATCTCCATACTGAATTCCATGGCGATTGTACTAATTTACATTTCCACCAACAATGGTGAAGGTTTTCCCCCATAGCCTTACTAGCTTTTGCTATTGATTGATTTCCTGATAATAGCCATTCTTTATGGATTAAGATAGTGTTGTTTTAATTTTCATTTCAGTCTCAGTGCTGTTTTAATTTTCACTTCTTGTGTGACCCATGATGTTGAACATTTTTGATACATTTATTTGCTGTTTCCACCTCTTCATCTGAGAACTGTCTATTCGTTTCACATATCCATTTTTATTAGGCCTTTAAATTTGGGGGAAGTTGATTTTTTGAGTCATTTATATATTCTTGATATTGGTCTTTTGTCTGAAGAATAGTTGGTAAATTTTTTCCCATTCTATGGGTTGTCTTTTTGTTCCTTTGGTGGTTTCTTTTGCTGCACAAAAGCTTTTTAATATGATATGATCCCAGTTGTTGAATCTTTGTGATATTTCCTGTGTGATTGGGGTTTTACTAATAAAATCTTTGCCTACACTTATGTCTTCAATAGTTCTATTTTATCTTCCAGCCAATTAAGTGTTTCTGGTCTAACCCTGAACTACAGATCCTTAGCCCCACACAGACTTTTTTCTCACAAAATGAGACTATATTTATATATTGTTTATGCATTGCCTCTCTCATTTGATTACATAGTGAGTTTTTCAAATTACCTAAACATATATTCTATGCTTTACTAACATACAGTATTCTGCTGCATGCTTTTAAAATGAAATCTTACCAACAGTGCATTAAAAATCTGTTTTCCAACATATTCATCAATAGTCAATGTGATCAAAATATATTTTGTGCCACTCTATCATTGAAAATTGGCTGGTTTTCTTTTCTTTCAATTATGAATAAACATTTCTTCAAAGTTTTACTAGCCATTTACAACTCTGTTTCTTTTCTGTGTCTCTCCCTTTCTCTGTCTCTCTCTGTGTCTGTCTGTCTCTCTGTCTCTGCCTGTCTCTGTCTCTCTGTTCCTCTCTCTCTCTCTGTCTCTCTCTCTCTGTCTCTCTCTCTCTCTCTCTGTCTCTCTCTCTCTCTCTCTCTCTCTCTCTCTCTCTGTCTCTCTCTCTCTCTCTCTCTCTCTCTCTCTCTCTCTCTCTCTCTCTCGGGCTTTGTTCATACTAGGCACTCCTATACTGAGCTACATGCTCATCCCCTAAAAGTCCCTGAGATTGCCCCTATGTGTCTACTCTAGCTCCCAAAGGACAGTGAGTAGTCTGAGTGGTCAGTATGAGAAACGGCTTGGATGTTTTGGGCTCCAGTGTCTGCACTCATGAACACATGGGTCCCTCGTACTGCAGATTGAAGGCAGAGCAGGAAGCAAACCAGGGATGGACTGCAGGGGCTATAGCATCTATTTAGTTTATATTTTTACTTCATGCCCTGCAAATGTTAAGGACATGTCTGCTTTCTGGTGTAAGAGAAGTTCCTAGTTACTGAGGTTATGGTGGCGGAACAAAAGGAAAACACAAATATAAAAGCTTTTCTTTTACCACTGTATTAAGTAATAATATTGGTTCAATTTCAAGTTCTTCTTCATGCTGAGTGATAAGCTAGAGACTGGAAATTTGAAAGCGAGTGACATAGGGTCTCTTGCCCTGCCTACATCCTCCAGTTGCTTTCAAAATCTTCAAAATCAAAAATCTTTCTTCCACTAGTTTGCCTTATTCTGAACTCTGCTCCAGTCACACCAAAAGTATCTCTCCAAATAGTCCTTTTTCATTTTCTACTCCAAATAATATTTTCCATTGCTGGGTATGAAAATGTCTCCACAATGCACCTCCCTAACCCATTTTTGTCTCCATTTGCTAAGTCTCAGTATGCCACACTTCTCAAGAAACATTTCCCAAAGTGCGAAACTTCACTTTGCTTTCAAATGATAAAGCATGGCAGACACATTACAAACTCAATACATTTTTGTGTATTTTAGGCTTGAGTTTTAGAAGATGAAATGCTTGTTAAACTGAGAAACTTCCTGTTTTTGTGGGAAAAAAATCAAGTGCAGTCAGACGGTTCATCCAGCAGGGGGCACACGCGAGTCAGTCAGCTAGTGGGTCACAATACGGGAGGGGAATTATGGTGTCACAGAGCGTTACCTTCTCAGAATCTTGGCACTGGGAAG